TTTCTAAAAGTGTTGTCCATTATCATGTGAAAGATCGATTTAAAAACACTACAATTAATATGAAGTACACTGATTTCCGTCGTTTTTCACCGACAAATAATTTTGTAAAAAAATGAATAAATAAATAAAAAATCTTTTAATATATATATATATATATATATATATATATATATATATATATATATATATATATATATATAATACATATAATATATATAATATATATACATATATATATATATATATATATATATATATTATTAAATATTATATATATATATATATATATATATATATATAATATATATATATATATATATATATATATATATAATATATATATATTATATATATATATATATATATATATATATATATATATATATATATATATATATAGATATGTAGAGCTTACACATCTATAAAGCACAGCCCACAGACACGACTCTCTCTATCAGCCGACAGCGCTCTCTCGTCACCGGCCTTCAGACACTCTAGCTTTGTGTCACGTTTTATTATCATTAAGTTGCGATGTCTTTGGTCTCACTTTGTTGATTGTTTGTTCTTTTTTTCTTTTTTTTTTTTTCTTTTTTAAGGAAAGACATTTTTTTCTATTGGTCTTCCACTTGTTCTGTCGAAGTTTTCCGAGCGAGGTTTTGTCCTTGGAAATAAAACTCACTTAATGCCACACAAGCTAGTTTTTTTTTTTTTTTAATTCTATAGAGGAAAAACCTGCAATGTTTTCTTTTTATTTGTCTTTTTATTTGGTTTCCAGAACACAGTCGTTCGTTGCACGTCTTGGCATCCTTTTCCTCGAAGAAATGTATATAGATAAAAAATATAAATATTTGAGCAAATTTGATTATCTTGAAAGCCATCCGACGACCACTAGAGATCTTGATATCCGCAGAGACGGTCACCAGAGTATAGCGTAAACTCACTGTCTCATATAACGTATTTTCAGTAGCACCGTATCACCGAGGTTTTCATATGTACAAAGTTTTATATGTAATTCCGTAGAGTTTATTGGACGTAGCGCTGTCCTTAGAAAGAAATTAAATCCTCAAAAAGTTTGTTTAGATAAATTGTATATAAACACCTATTATATAGAGACTAGGATCTTGGTCATTTGAATTGATAAATGGCTAATATCTCGCCAAATGAGTCTTAATATAAATAGTAAAGTTTAGACTTTGTGACCTTTCAGTGTCAGTGTCCTTGTATTTCACTCACGTACCAGAGAACGAGAAGAAAAGCATTAGATAAGAATGTAGAGAGAGAGAGAGAGAGAGAGAGAGAGAGAGAGAGAGAGAGAGAGAGAGAAGAGGAGAGAGAGAGAAAGAAAGAAAGAAAAGGAGAAAAAGAAAGAAAGAAAGGATGGATGGCATCGCCTCGGTGGACCGCCCTTTCACCCTCACCGCCACGGTCCTCCGCCCATCCTTCAGCACGAGTGGTGATTCTCCCACACGTTGGGGCGCTGAGGTCGATCTGCACTGAGGTCATTGAAGCTCCTGAACGAGTGGGCGTGGCTGGAGCTGTACCCTGACGAGTCGTCGTTCTCCTCGAAGTGCGTCTCCATCGGCAGCCCGCGGGACATGAACGGGCGCAGCGGATGGGGCGACGGGGTGGGCGGCGGAGGCGTGGCGCGGGATGGTGTGGGCGCCTTGTGGTTCATCAGGGCCGTGATCCCCAGGGGCACCATGGACTGCAGCTCGGCCTCAGGGGGCATCGACGACCGCTGCGAGTTTCGGTTCCATTCCATAAGCAGATTCCGCATCTTTACCTGAAGGAGGGAGAGGGGGGGGCGGGTTAGGCTGGTGGCACAGACCTCGTTGTCGGGGTTATTATCTCAAAAAAAGGAATATCTGGCAACTCAGTCCAAACTCTGGGGTATTCGTGTTTATATTTGTTTATTTTTATTTTTTATATTTGTTTATATTCATATTTATTTATTTGTTTAATTTATTATATTTTGTTTATATTTATTTTATTTGTTTATTTATTGTTTATATTCATATATATATTTTTTAGATTTTTATTTATATTTCATATTTTGTTTATCTTTGTTTATATTCGTATTTATATTTTTATATTTGTTTAAATTTGTTTATATTTTATTTATACTTTATATTTGCTTATATTTATATTTGTTTATATATATGTTTTTTATATTTAGTTTATTTTGTTTATATTTATATTTATGCTAACGACACAGACCTCGTTGCCGGGCTTATTATCTCAAAAAAGGAATAACTGGCAACTCAGTCCAAATTCTGGAGTACCCTTGTGTTTATTTTTGTCTAGAAATATAGGCGATATATTTTCATTATATAATTTTTTTTAAATCTTATTTTCAAAAGAGATTTGAAGAATCGAAGGAGTGAATGACAGTTTTTCCTTCACAGTGAATGGACAGAAATATAGGTGTTACAGAACATATTCTCATGGATTACAGAACCATATTTTTGATACATATCGTGTGCATACGTAAAACCAAAAAGCCGAGAAGTAGCAAGCAAAGCAACGCAATAAAAAAATGATAATAATAAAAAATAAAGAAAAGAAAAGAAAAGAAAAAGATGAAAAAAAAGAAGAAACACACACACACGCACACACACACACACACACACACACACACACACACACATTATATATATAAACCGGAAGTAGAATGAGGAAGAGGAGAACCTTAAAGCTGAGTAAGACTGCCTCGCAAATCGGACACACAATACAACAGAAGACGAGAAAAGGCCTTTGTACACGAGCCTTCACTCCACAGAGGACGAAACGAGACAATCTGTCATACAAAAATGTGGTTTCATAAGGATCCTCTCCAGTCGTGGCCATCTTTGTCGGAAACACGGGATAAGCACGATGGAAATGTGCTGAGTAAATATAGATAGTATTGAGGAGAAAATGAAATGGAAACATTTCATTTCTTTATAATAGGATTATATATACACAAAGCGTGTATATATACCACAAATGCACACACACACACACACACAACACACACACAAACACACACAACACACACACACACACACACACACACACACACACACACACACACCACATAGACAATAAAGACATACACACACACACAGTCATACAGAACACACATGTCCGTAAATATATATCATTTTTGTTATAACTTCTGCAAAATAGTTTATCATCGAAAATTATCGATAACTTCTATAAACCAAAAAGGTATATGAATTTATATATGTGTATACATATATAATACATACATATATATATATATATATATATATATATATATATATATATATATATATATATGTGTGTGTGTGTGTGTGTGTGTGTGTGTGTGTGTGTGTGTGTGTGTGTGTGTGTGTGTGTGTGTGTGTGTGTGTGTGTGTGTGTGTGTGTGTGTGTGTGTGTGTGTGTGTGTATGCATGTACATATGCATAGATGTATGGAAATACATTTATATAGGCCTTTTTGAATATAAACATCAGTTTACGCGTAGAAGTAATATACATGCATGCATACATAGATACAAAGAAACATAAAAACCAACACAGACACACACACACACACACGCATAAATATGTGTGTGTGGAGAGATAGACCGAGAGAGAGGGGAAAAAGGGGAAGGAGAAGGGGAAAAAGGGAAGGAGAAAGGAACATGATAAATGAAACAAAAGCCAAAACCAAGCAAGCAAGCAAGGCATTCCAAGCAAGAGGTCTCTGTTCTCCGCAAGATTGCACCGCCAGCCCGGGTGACAGCGCGATCCCTCTTCTCTCCCATTTGCCTGTATTTTGACCAGGTCAGCTTCAACCTATTCTTTCCTTCCATATCTTTAAAAAAAAATCTTTCTGACCTATGACAGAAGGTCTCGGAGACTGGCTTAGTAAGGCCGACCGTTCGTCTTCCAGTGGCAGATCTCTTGCCTGGCAGATTCCCGCGTCGCGCCCAGCTTCATTGCTTCTTTTGGGCGAAGGAGGCGAAGGAGGCGAGGTCGCAGAGGTCGCAGAGGCAGCTTCTTGACCCTCCTTTGCAGCCGACGGGCCTCGTGCGACGAAGTCTTTCTCAGCCTCTCTCTCTCTTGTCCTTCCTCCTTCCCCTTGTGAACCGCTTGGGCTCTCGGACTCAACGGGGAGGCCCGGCTTCGGAGCTTCGTTCTCGCCGAGCTGCTTCGAAACGCCTTCCGAAGCACCGAGGCTGAATCTCTGGGCAGCGGGGACTTCCTTTTGGCTTAACTTTTTGTACGTCTCTCTGGAACAGGATCCCTGGCGCCGGGAAGCGTCTCGTGAGCTCGCGAGGTCCAGTTTCTTTCGCAGAACAGAAACTTAGGAGTAAACACACAGGTAACATACAAGGCAAATAAACAAAAACTAAAAAAAAAAAGGAAAAAATAGACCATTGATAAACTAAAAGATAAAAAATGGGATGCAATTCTAAAACCAAGATGTGATGGACAGAAGGACGAAATTAAAAATCCAAGCAAAATGTTCTACTCTACAAGGAATACAAGGAATGGGGAATGCAACATATATTTTGTTTGTCAAAAACTTTGGAAATTTAAGATCTTTCCCTTTCCCATTGCCAATATTTTGTCTATATTTTACATATGTGCCCAGTAATGGTTCTTACAGCTTTATATAGCGCTGTTATTTCAATTTTTCCTTCTTCCTTCCTCTCTCTCTCTCTCTCTCTCTCTCTCTCTCTCTCTCTCTCTCTCTCTCTCTCTCTCTCTCTCTCTCTCTCTCTCTCTCTCTCTCTCTCTTATACACACACATACACATACATATTACACACTGTCTGAAACACATTCACGAACACACACACAAGCTTCTTCCCTACCCTACACACACACACACACACACACACACACACACACACACACACACACACACACACACACACACACACACACACACACACACCACCATACTCACCTGTATGCGTACACCGACGACCATCCTGTCCCTGGTGGAGTTGTTATAGATGGTACTGCGTGTTTGGGCGGAAG